TGCAGAGGGCCTCATCTGTGCAGACCCCCCGCCCCCGGACCTGCTGTAATGCCTGGTGGCTGTGGCCGACCGCCCAGTGTCGCGTATGTGAAAGTTGCTCAGAGAGTTGATCTGGAAGGTTCTCACCACACACGTTGTAAGGAGGTGATGCTAACTACACTCGTGATGGCAATCCCTTTGCAACACTCGCTCAGAGCGGATCATTGCTGTATGCTTTCAACGGATGGTTCTGTCAGCTACATCCCAGTGAAGCCGGAAAACAGGCCTCGGAGCACTGAAGAGGGAGCCTTCACAGAGAGAGAAGAATTGGGCTTAGGACTGTTTTTCAGGATGAGCAGGATTTCGGGGAAGCTCAGGGATGGGCACCGGGACCTGTGTGGGCAAATCCTGTTCACAAGGGGCTGGGTGGGGGGTCGTCAGCAACTGGTGCGTCTCCAGGGCTGTTTCAGGATGAGGGGATTCGGGGGTGGAGGGGATCTTTGGGAAGGCCCCTTTTGGGAAACAGAGCTTCCCTCCTCTTGTTTTAAAATCAACTTACGGTGAACATCCTTGTTTGTCTTTGGACAGTATCTGATCTCTCTCCTAGGTGCGGTCCCCGGGCTTCCCCCACCACCAAGGCACCTGCGAGCCACCTCCCTAAACCCTGTCTCTTCCCTGTGCTGACCCCTCTCCTGGCCCTCCCCTGCTGTTTGCCTCAGGTCTGTGTTGAGCTTGCAAATTTTGGCTTTCTCCTGACTCTTGGTTTGGTTTCTCTATATTCGACCTTCCCTGCTCCACTGTTCAGAAGCTCCAGGCAGAAGCTCTGAGGTCATCAGGAATTTACTGTAGTTTTCAGGGGAGATGGGGAGGGTGGAGCCTTGAGAAGGAATACTTGAAGGATTTGATATTCAGTGGGGAGAAAAAGAAGACTCAAGTAGCAACAGGGCCATCTTGGCCCGCAGGGGAGGTGAGGGCCCCGTGTCCGATGGAGCCAGAGGCCTTGGAACAGACCTGGCTTCTTCCTGGACCCCAGTGGCCCTGGGCTGATTCTCAACTTCTCTAACTAATCTACCGGTGGGAATAACGATTCCCACGTGCTCAGGAGGTGCCAAGTGCTGGACGAGACAATGTATATAAAACGCTCAGCGGCAGTGCCTGCGAACCTTCTCGTTCAATGGTAGCACTTATTATTGGAGTGATAATTGCCTTCAGATGTTTCGAAGGTCACCGGGAAACATCCACTTCTCTCTGCTGCTCCCCCAGCTACGCAAGTGAGAGGGAACAGGGTTTCCACGGGCTGGAAGGAAGCAGCTCTTACAGCCAGAGCATCTGAGCCATGTGCGAGAGGGTTTCTCTCACTGGGAGCTTCCGACAGAGGCTGCCTGGGATGTCTTCGCACTGGGCAAAAGCTGGGTCTTTAAGCAGGAGGAGGGAGCCGGCGTGGAGAGTCTCTCTCTGGCTCAGAGTCACATCACCCGGGACCTCACTCTCCTGTCTCCTGGGGAGGCCATGGGGGAGGCTCTGTGGGGCCTACTCCTGCCTCCGAGTGATGGAATTCCACTCTGCGTAGGATGTTGGAGGAGGAGGCACAGTCTTTGTTTAAAGACACTTCCCTCAGCCCCCTCAAAAAAAAAAAAAAAAAGTCCACACTCTGGGGCCCACGTATGTGTGGAGAAAACCTTCCTGAGACGCGGCTTCCGACTTTCTCATGGCCCTGTCTGGACTCCTGATCCTGGACCATGACCTCAGGGGGAAGGGGCTCCTGGTCACCTCTGCCTCTGGGGCAGGAGCGCTGCGGCTTTGAGCGAAGACTGCTCAGCTCTTTCTAGGGTCTTCCTTCCCAACCAGCTGAGGGAGGGAGGCCCTCTACTCCCCTTCCCTGTGTGCATTTCCAGTAGAGAGGGGCATCTCGTGCCCTTCTTCACAAGGGGGCGAGAGTCTGAGTGGGTCCTTTAGTCTCTCAGGAGAGACGTCGCTAAGGGCGGCCGGGAGAGGTGTCTTCCTCAGCACCAGGCTATCAGGTTTGGGCCCCCTGGCAGCTGATTCTCCAACACCTCAGAGGGTGTGACCCATCAGAACAGGTGACAAGGAGCAGCAGAATAACCCCCAGCATGTCCTGCCCTGAGCACCACAGTCTGTGAGCATGTTAGGTTTGCCACAAAGCGAAATTAAGGTTGTAGATGGATTTAAGGTTATGACCCAGTTGGTATTTAAATGATCTGAAGTGATTATTTTCAGATTAGTAGGTGGATCCAGTGAGTCAGAAGTTTCCTTCCAGGTCAAAGAGGGAATGAGAAGAGAGGGCTAGATTGATGGTTAAGCAAGAGCTTGATGTTACCAGCTTTGCAAACGGGACAGTGGGGCTTACGCCAAGGAATGTGGGCCTGCTCTAGAGGCTGGAAAGGGCCGGCAAGGGGATGTTCCCCCAGCTTCCAGAAGGAATGTTTCCCTGCTGACACTTTGATTTTAGCTCAGTGAGACCCAGCTCGGACATCTGACCTCCAGAGCGCCAGATAATAAGCTTGTGTTGTCTTAAGTCAGTGTGTTTGTGTAACTTGCCATTGTAGTCAGAAACTAATACAGAATGAAAGGCTCCCTCTGCCGGGCCGCTCCCTCCTGCGGGCTGGGCTGCTGTGGCAGCTGCGCACAGAGAGCATTCATTGGACATGTTTCCTGAAGCAGTGGCGTGAAGGCGCGTACAAGAATGTTCCTGACGAACTTTGCCTCTCTGTTGCCCTCTCCACGGGCAGCTTCCCTGGGCCGGTCTGCTGTTTCCCTTTCTGTTTTAGAAGGAAGGTGAGGAGGCGTCTTTTGAACCTCGGTCTCTGTCTCAACATCCAGCTCAGCTTTGCCAGAGAGGCCAGTGCGCGCCAGCCTCTGACACTTGTCTGATCATGAATAAAAGTGATTCTTGGGTTTCCTCGTTGCATTCTGTTCTCTGGCACCTTCTCCGTCTACATTCAGAGGGGTGGAAGGAGGCAGACGGGGGCCTCCCTGGAGCTTTGAGGTAAACTCAAACAGAATTCAGTGGATTTTAACAAGCAAAGTTTCTGAAGGTAGAAAGAAGAAGGAGAAGGCCTGCAGCCTTCTAGAGGATGGGTGTAAAAACCCCAATTGTGCCCGAGGACAGAGTACTCCACCGACAGGTTGGCTTGAGAGTCTTCATGCTAAACTTCAGTCTGAGGTGCGCGGTTGGGCTGCTCCAGACTCTGGCTGCCTACTTGGTTTTGATCTGTACTGAGGGCCCCAGGAAGAACCATGGGGAGTTTTATTTATGATCAGAGCACCAATTTCTAGACTTATTTCCTATGACAGAGTCTTAAGTTGGTTTGGGGTTGCACATTTCTTAAACCCTGGCCAGGGTTGTGGATCTCAGAGACCCAGTGAGCAGAGCCCAAAGGCTGATGTGACAGACTCCAGCTCACTCCTTACTTAGAGTGAGGCTGAAGTAGGTGAAGGAGAGAAAAAGTCAACAAAATCGAATGAAAATTCAATAAAAAACTGAAGGATGAGGAAAAGCAGTGAATCTGAGACCTGGGACACTCTGTCTCTAGAAACTAGGGGCAAGGAGTTAAGGCTTAACTCTATGAAGCTATCCCTGCCACTGCAGCATGAGTTCGATTCCCAACCAGGGAGTGACCCACAGGGTGCAGCAGACCTCTCCTGTGTCTCCGCTGCTCCCCTCAGCAGCATGCTTCAGTCCATCTGCCTGTTCTGCTCCCCACTTAGTCCTCTCACCCCCTGTACCTCCAGCCTGTACCCCTGTTCTGAATGCATAAATAAATCTTTTTTAAAAAGGAAAATAGAGGGCCCTCCCTGGTGGTGCAACAGGTAAGGACGCAGCACTGCAAGCTGGCCACAGCCGCTTCAGTGAAAGTTCGATCCCCCAACCCAGAGCTGACCCACATGGCGTAGCAGACCTCTCCTGGCCTGCCTGCTGCTCCTTTCAGCTGTGTACTTTTTCAGTCAGCCTGTTCTGCTCCCTACTCTGTCTCTGGTGAATCCTCTCACGGCCCCCGCACCTCTGGCTTGTAACTGTTTTGAATGAATAAATAGATAAATCTTAAAAAAAAAAAAAGGAAAAGCGAAATGTTTTCACATCTATGTGCCTGAAGGACAGAACCTAGAGGCAATTTATGTGCAGACCTGGGAAGATAAATGGGGCTTGGCTCTAACAACCAAGCAACACAGAGAGAGGCCGCTGGAGGGAGCCCAGGCCCAGACAACTGTGGGAGCTGCCCGCACCCCCCCACCTCAACCTCCAGGATGGGAACTGTGAGCATCGCCAGGGAAGTTTGAAAGGGACGCCTTTGTTTGAGGCGCCCTTGTTTGAGGAGCAAGGGGAAGGGACTGCCCCGACTCCACTGGAGGAGACATTCCTAGGGATATGTGGGGCCAGGGCTAATTACATATGCAGAGAAGAGAACACCCCCCCTCCCTTGCGTGAGCAGGTAAATGGGAGTCATCAGCCTGAGGTGAAGCAGGTGTCGGAGAAGGAAGGTGGAGAGAAGAAAAGAGGGTGCAGGATGCTAATCCAGGGCACAGAGTCCCAGTCAGGACATGCTAGGGAACGGTCCGGTGCTGAGTCCCAGAGACCCGAGGGGGTGCAGCATCGTGCGGCAGGTAGGCAGGAGTCTCTGGAAGGCCAGCTGTGTCTGCGCGTTCTGGCGTGCTGCTTAGGGCCTAGCTCGTGGCTGGAGCGCAGCCAGGGGCGGTGGCTTGGGGCGGCAGACCGGGTGACTTCAGGAGGCCGGGGCTGGGGGCGCAGGGGTGGGGGCAGGGGTGTCCCTAGGGCAGAGGGGCAGTTGGAGGAGGGCCAAGACTCGAGGAGGAGGGCAGGCAGCTTCACAGGGATGGAGTAGGAGAGGAGGAAGCCCAGCACAACGGGGCCTCCTGCCTCCCCTGTCGGCGCAATGAACCCCCGGAGAGCCAGGCTGGGGGTGCAATGCTTTAATGAGGAAGGTGCGGGCGGTGCCGGCAGTGCTCCCAGGCGCCAGCGGGTGCGGAGTCCTCCCCTCCCTTCAGGGGCTGATGGCCTCCGCGACGCGAGGGAAAAGGCTTTTCAGATAGTTTAGTAATTTTTTCACCTCTGTCTCCACTTTCTTCCCAAATTCATAGCCGGACTTGAACAGAATCCCCTCTGAGGGAGAGAGAGGTGGTGGGTGATGCTAACCCACCCCTGCCCCTCCCCGTCCCACACCTCCCCCTCCCCCACCCCACCCCAGCAGTAGCCCGTTCCTGGCACAAGCCACCAACACCTCTCCCTCTTCCATTCTCGTCCCCCCAGAAGCTTCCTCGCCTCCCCGCCCGGACTGCTCCCCGCGGTCTCGGGCCCCAGCCTCTGCTCCGGCCCTCACCGGCGGCCGGTGTCCGTGCCGCGGTCTGCTCGGACTGCAGGTCAGCGTCCTGGGAAATGTCCTCCTGTGGGGTGGGGCGAGGCACCTGCTGCTTTGGACTCATTGGTCTCCTGACAGACTTGACCACAACCTTCTTCTCCTGGGAAAAATGCTCTTCTGTGGTGATGGTCGCCTCCTTAGAAATGTCCTTGGCCGCAACATCCATCGAGGGGTGGCTGCTGGGGGACACCTGTGCCTCTGGGGCGAAGGGAGATGGGGGGGTGCAGGTCAGAGAAAGAACTCTGGTGAGAAGTTGTCAGCCCTGTGGGAGGCCTGCGGTGGAGTGACCACCCTGAGTGTGGAAGTGGGGTTGGGGTTCACACCAGCAGCCAGAGCCACGAGCACCGGAAGTCGCGGACCGGAAGTCTCGGACCGGAAGTCTCGGACCGGAAGTTACGGACCGGAAGGCTGTTGACCAGGAGCCCCACTCTGGCACGCGGGCTCCGGGCCGCAGAGCTGTGCGGGCTTCTCGGGAGCTGGCCCGTCCCTCTGGGACTCTAGGTGTCGCTTCAGTTCTCTGGGGTCCCAGGTACATTGGGGGCGGCCAGCCAGAGAGGAAGCCTGCTCACAGGTGTTCCACTGACCGCGAGTCTGTACTTCATGGGCTCTGGGCTGGGGAGTGGCGCGTCGGGGCCGCCCTGAGCTCCGGGGAACCGGGAGTCTGCCCTCCCCAGTCGCACGTGGCCGTCCCCCCACTCCCGTCTCCGGGACCACTCAGCATGCAGGGCCATTCATTAGTTTCTGGCCCCCAGATCTTGGCCAGTGGATGCAGCAGGAGGGACTAAGCCCCGACACTAGAGGGACGGTCTTTGCTCTGCTCCCGCAGCTGGAGACTTCGTGGCTGACTGGACAATCTCTAGTAATCACCGACTTGCTCTCCAGAATGCCAGTTTGAGACTTACCAGCGTCGGTGGGGTGAGGCACCGAGTAGATTTTGTCTTCTGCTTCTGAAAAATAAGGGGTGAAAGTCTCCAGCTAGTACACATGTCAGCTGGCCCTGTCTGACCTCGCATTCCCCGTCTCCCGTCCCTGGCTTTGTTTTTCTAATGCTTGTAATTTATTGGGTACACATTGTCTCTCCCGCCAGAATGCACTCTCAGGGCTGAGGGAGTCTCTGGCTGTTGCTGGTGTATCCCTATCACCGTGAGCAGCAGGCCCTTCATAGACAGCTGGTGAACAATGTGTGTTTCTCTGCCCTCTGTGCAGAGGAGCCAGCGGCTGCAGAGGCGGGATGGAAGGGCAGTGACTCTGCCTGACGTGTCCAGTCTCATCGATGCTGGAATTGAATCGGAATCTCTGCGGACCCATAGTCCTCCTTGACTTGGGTCCAGTCTGGCCCCTGTGGTCCCAGCTCCGGCTTTCTAGGGCACAGGATGCTTGGGGTCATGCGCCCTGCCCCTCGTCTCTACGCCTGTCATCTCAGGTGCGGACTTCTGGTTCTGCATCTCTTTCCCTTTGCACACAGCGCATGGCAAGGATTAAGGAAGGGTCTGCTGAGCGCCGAGGTCTCTCCAGATGACAGCCCAGCGACCTCAAGGGGACAGCGGGTTGAAGGCAGCCAGACTCACCGTGAGGGGCAGAGAGCGAGGTGGAGGCCAGACTGGCCAGCAGCAGGATGGCGAAGAACTTCATGCTGGGCTGTGGCAGTAGCAGGAGCCTGGTCCTGGGGGAGCTGCTTGGCACTGCTGGGGAGGCCGCCTGATGGGAGCTGTATTTATTTCGCAGCAGGGGTAGGCTCTGGGGAGCCTGGTTCAGGATTGGACCTGGGTGCATTCCAGCCCCCCCACCCCCCAGTTTCCTATTCTGAATACCTTTGTTTTGGAGAATTGGAGCTTCTGGGAAACCAGTTAACAGGAAGGTAGGGCTCCAGCATTCCCCCTGGCCCAGACGTGATGAGGAAGCGCCAGCCCATGGAATGAGTAACTGGAGATGAGTTTCCTGTCTTTAGGGTACCAGTCACTCATGTAATTTGACTTTGGTTGGCTGCCCCTTAATAAACAGCCACCTTCCTTAGACAGCAGAGATCTTCCAGAAGAGTGGGTTTGTGGCCGTCCTCTTGGCCATTATTTTCCCAGCACCCACTAAGCACGTAGCAGTGCCCAGATTTTATTAGTCAAGTGAACGACTCAAGGGGAGGCCAGGTTGGCCCCCAAGCTCCCGATAAAGCTCCCCTTCAGCTCAGACACGGGGAAGCCAGGCAGTTCCAGGAATCCCAGCTCCGTGCCGGGCACTGTCCTGATTTGATTGTCTCGGAGATTCTCTCTAGGCCGTGCTGGGCGACGTTATTCAGCAAGCCAACTGCTGCTCACAGAGCTGAGGGGTGTTGTGTGCCGTCACTCATCAGGGTGGGTTTTGTCTAGGTTGCTGCAGCCAAGCTCCTAGAAGTGGGCATGGCAGAGCAGTGGGACCCCAAGAGGCCCCTGGAGGGGGATGGGAGCTGTGCCGAGGACTCAGGTGCCAGGTCCCGGCTTAGGGGCTGATCCAGATGCTCTCCTCCAGCTGGAGGTTTCGCTGGTTTCTGGTCTTTGCAGCATGTTCAGGGAGGAGAGGGTTGCCCCGCTGCCACCAAGCCTCCCGTCCTCAGCAGGAAGCACTGATTGTGGGCACGCGGGGTCTTCCTGAGCGTAAGGTCCCACCTGTTG